ACCTCTGAAGAGTAAATATCTCAAGAAATACTCAAAGATACGCTTCAAGACTCTGCACACTAACAGATTGAACCCCCCAAAACACGAAAAGCACCATAATCTAAATTTCGACCAAATCCAGTTTCGCCGGTATGGGAAAAATGCGACGAAATGCTTCCCAAAAGCATGGTTTTTCTTTAACCGTGAGCATAGCCGCCGTTACTCGGTATCTGACACTCGCTCCGCAAGAAAGTGAACCGTGGGCACCAAAATAAATATCTTTAAGAGAGATCAAAGAGACCGCGTGGCATTTTTTATTTGCAAAAAGAGCGCGATCGATTTCTTTAAATAACTTATCCACCAAAGAGGCATCATAGTCGATCTTAACATACATCCTACTTTTATCGGTAAAAGCCGGTCTAACTAAGCAACTGATCCTATCGGGTATGTCGTCTAGTTTTTGAGACACTTTAAAAGAGTTACGCGTACTCGCGGGTAGATTTTCTAGCACCTCTAGGTTTTTAAAATAATTATAAACTTCGTCATTTATACGTAATAGCAACGATTCGGTCTCGGGAGATATCTGATAACAAATTTGATCTTGACCAGTAGGTTCCTTAGTGCCATATTTGTAAACTGGGCTGACCCCGTAACAAGGGTCTTCGAGCCTAATCAACAGTTGTTTGTTTTGTCCATCGTGGTGATAAGCGATCTTAGAAGAACACTTTGTAGGTCTTAAAATGACTAATTATTTAGGATCAAAGGGACCATAGGTAATTTTTGGGTTTTTGTTGCCGGCATTTAGACGCTCGTGGTCATTTAAGACGATATATATTTTATATATAGTTTTTTTAAATTTTTTCTCATTTTTATTCGGGCAGGATTTCTACTTTAATTAAATGTTGGACGTCAGCGTCGTATTCAATAATTAATCCAATTTTGTATAAGTCCACGTCGAGTTTAGTCGATGAATCGGGCAGTGGCTCGTTCTCTCGTGCGTGCCTCAGCTTTTTATGCTTGCCGTCTACGAGCACCACGTGATCCATTCCTTCCAACTCGACACAATTTACGCAGCAGGTGCAATAGGTACAACCAAAACATTCGATACAATGGGCGCACTCGTAACAATCCTCGCAACTGTCCAAGGCATTTGAATTTCTGCAGTCGTATGAATTAAAACAAGCCACACAATTTATACATCTACCACAATCGTCGCTGGTGGAGCAGTCCTTACATGTGACGCAGTCTTGGCATTCATGACAATTGTGGCATTCTTTACAATCGGCGCATTTGCGTAAACTTTTGGAATTTAAACAACGAAAGAAATCGTACGAATCTATCAAGTCGATCGAATCTCTTGTGTCTTTGCAAAAATAACAATTCACGTTTGTAGTTTTATCTACCATTAATTTTTATGTATTTTTATTATTGTTTTTTTCGCTTTTTTATTTTATAATGGGCAAGTCGAGACTTGTTTGTGAGTGATTGCCAGTCACGAGTTGTTTACAGCCGGGGTCAAAAGTTCAAGGTCAGTGAAGTGGAAATCCCCGGCGCTAGTCACGAGTTGTTTACAGGAAAAGTGCGCCGGGGTCAAAAGGTGAGTGGAAATCCCTGGTGAGTGTGATTGGTGAAAGGGGTAGGAAAGGGCGTGTGCTCCAGAACTGTCCAATGCCTACTACTCCTGCAAGTACAAGGATTATTCTTTATATATGTAAGTTTGTAAAATCAACTTGCCGCTCGGCCCATTTATTCTAAAACTTACTGGTGATTGGTCTGGGTAGTCCTATTCGATATGCACTTTTTGATGTTAAAATATCAGGAAAAAAATCACGTTATACATGTATGTCATTCCTCTGTCATTAAATGGAGTGCCCCTCGGTGATTAAAAGAGGGAGCCCATTCATCTTTCATCATTCCTCATGAATGAAAATAAAAAATGACCATAAAAGGTCTTCATTGTACCAGTTGACTGTTGTAATTTGAATGTGTAACTGCGCAAGACTTTGATATGCATGAAAAAAAATTAATGTACCTTGTGCCACGTGACCATCAATTTTGCTGAGGTAGCCACCAACTGTTACTATTTCCTTGATGGCTGCAGGACATTGGTACAAAGGTCCTACACAAGGGACATTTACGCCCACAATACACGAGTATTTGTCACATTTACTGATTGGAATGGTGTTTTGACATGCAACTACAGCGTGTGGAGTACAGCATGCGGGCTGTCATTTGACCGTGCATCGGACGGAGGCGAGTGCATGTGCAGCGCACGCGGCACTTTGGTTGGAGCGTGTCGCGGTGGCGTGACACTGAGTGAGTCGCAATCGCGGTTGCTATACTACAGGATCACGCGTTGTTCATATTTCGAATCCACGCCACGACATTGTATTTTTAAAAGAAGGGAACGAAATTTCAAGGTAAATTTGTCGGGTTTGATCCTGAAATAACAGAAAATGAGGTCATGTTTCTTGTCTGACTTCAAATCCCGATCTCTGCTGCGTGTGCAGATGCTGTGAAAACGTCCTGTGGTCCATGGATTTCTGCATGCAAATTTACACAAGCAGCTCCGTAAGCTTTAAAAGATCAGCTTTTCTCTTGATTTTTTCTCGAGACTGATACCAAAATATGAAATAAAACAATGGATTTGTACTTACAATGAATAAAAACCACAAAAATTTGCTAATTTCGAAAAATTACTGCAATTAAAAATCCTGTACGCCCCCTTTAAACTTCCAAAAGGTGGGAAAATTTGATGCAATTGAAAATCCTGTACGACCCCTTTAAACTTCCAAATGCTGGGAAAATTTGATGTTCTGGATGATGAACGTAACTCCCCCCCCCAACTGAAGCTAATTGTTGTTGATCAGCATTCTGCTGGGTGCTCTGCGCTCACACAGCCAAGGTAAAACTTGAAGCACGCGACTTTCCCTGGCTGCCCCCAAATAACGTGGCCCGCGCCCGCTAGCGCATTGTCATCATCAGGCAGTTTCTTACAGCACATGCATTCGCCACTCGTCATTCATAAGTTCCCCCATCGCTGGGGTTTCTGATGCATCAACACTGTGCAGAAAGATGGAAGATATGACACAGCTTTCCTATGCAAGGAATCATTGGAGTCAAAATTAAAAAATTGTGTGTTGTTGCCATTTACAGGGGCTTCTTGGTGAATAATTGTAAAGAGTGTGCATGGGTTAGCAGTTGCAAGCAAGTTGGTTTATCACGAATGGGTTCTGATTAAGGAGATACATATACCTGGTACTTGCAAATGTAGTGGTGTAGACATTTCCAGTTACGTAGGTGATTTGTAGGTAAAATTTTTCTTATGGCAGGAATGAAGTACCGGTACATGCAGGTTGTCAGGATAAATATTAGTCTTGAATGAACTGACTTTGGGAATTGGGAAATTTTACTAACATCCCCATCCATTGGCCGTGTAAGAAAAAATATGCACTGTTGCAGCTAGGACGGTCATCCAACCCTCAAAAAGTACTAAGCTTACATTTTATTAAGATTGTTTCACAGCGCCTGAAGACATTTGTGGTGCAGTTTATTTTTTATGTAAGTATGTACCAAGTCTATACAAAATATAGACGGTGGGTTAAAAAATTGGGTTTGAAAAACGGCATCCTTTCATCCGGATTCAAATTTCAATCAATTCAAATTTCAACTCGCCATAATTTTGTCCCTTTGTGTTGGAAGTAGTACACATAGACATCATTTTCAATATCTTTGCAGTCTTCCTCTGGCTTGAGAACCCCTCTGTATTCAACAATGAGGTCCCCGGGATCAATATCCTTTGTTGCAAAAAGGCCTTCACCTACGGTATCATGGTGGAAAAAGGTAACCTTTTGTTTTATCTTACTCCATAAAAACATGCTGAAATTGCTGGATCAGGAGTTTATTTGGTTTTACACGCTCATCATCCAACAGACAGTATTTGCTTTGATACCCTAAAATGAAACTCAACTCATGCCTTAAAAAAACCTGAAACTGAACCCCGAAATGAGTTGTTAAGACATGCCGAAAGAAAGTTATATTCAGTTTAATTATTCTGGAGTGGAGGATTTCAAAGAATTGAGGATAAATGGCGAAATTGCCTTGCTCCAGAATGCCATTTGCACCCTTTCAGTACAACAGCAGGAACAGCTGGAGTATTTTGGAGGACTGAGCATAAGTGCGAAATTGGAGGATTAGGAATATACCCAGGCAAAAAGGGTTAATATTCCAACAAAGATTATGCCCTATACAGTCAAGAATTTTTCAGGGACAATAAAAATCCATGGCAAATATATGTACTAGTTGGATAGAGAATCCTTTTTTGTTACTGATACTGGTCCTATTCCTTTTTGCATCTTAGATCCGTCCATTCAATTTTTCTGACCGTAGGCGGGTTTGTCATTCATGTCAGGTAAGTTGGATGTCAGATAACAATGCCAGACTTTCAAAAAGTGGAAATGACGGGAATCCTGTCAAATTATTACCAATGTAGTCATTGATGAATCTCCCTGTTAACCAATCAGGGTCCGTTCCTTTTCGCAACCATTTCATGGCCTCATCATGGGTATCCCTTAGCTCGTTTCTCTGTGACCCTTGAAAGAGAAAAACTACTTTTTATTTATTTTCCTGGAAATTCATGGACACTACCCCTCCCCTCCCCCAAAAAATATTTCTTGCAAGGTGTTTCATTGAATAGGCTCTGGGAACCATTTCAATTTTCATTTCTTGATAGCCGAGCAATATTGAATAAATATGTGCTCAGCTTTAAAAATAAGTGTAAGAGGATGGGCGCAAATTAAATCCAAGCCACAGGTGAGTGCATTCATTCATTCTCCTGAGCCATTTACATGTACACGCAGTTTAAGACCAAACAAACAAATATGCCCAATTCATAAATAAGGAAATGAATATGTACTTGGTCAGCATCAACGATCATTTAAGACCGCTCAGGAGAATTGGTGCGACTAATGCTTGCGCCGCACTTGCCAATGCTGTAATTTTTTAGGACTTTTAGTATATTGTTTAGGGGGTAAAACTGACAACAGTGCAGCAGAAATAAATCTTTGGCAATTATTCTTCTTCTTAGTGTGCCACATCCTTTGCAAGTAGTTGTGGGTAAAACCAGTATTTTGACTCAACTAATTACCAAATGTTAATACATTGTCAAGATGAATCGGGAGACTGTATTTATGAATATTTGGCTTTTTCGAAACTAAGCGAAAAAGGCATTGTTTTTATCCAGATTTTTTGGCTTTTCCGCAATGTTGTGGACAATGGTCGAAAAGCCTTTCTTTTTGTTCAGATTTTTTTCCGCCGCCGTCGTCGTCTTCCTTTTTGACCAAAAGTCCATTTACCTAGCACAGGGTTATTCTGCACGCCACTTTTGCCAGTAAACTGTATTGCACTTCGTTCAAAGTTTGCATAGGCAAAGTCCCTCCTGCATAGATGTGTCCCGACGAGTCAAGTCATGATGACGTCATCATGGGTCATGTGACGTCATCACAAAGTTGCATATTTGAAAGCCCTACATGTATATATATATACAGAACAGTGGGTTCGATTGGGTCGAAACTTGGTACACGACTAGAATGGGGTGTGTTATAGATGAAAATTGAGATGACATCATGATGACGTTATCGCCTTATTTTTTATGACTTTTTAATTTTCAAGATTTTGAATTTCTTTTAAAAATCCTGAACGATACAAGTTTTTTTTAAAATTCCTTCAGCAAGACCTTAGGTAGGTAGTATAGATGTGTGGGTAACTTGTGCAATGTTGTGCCTTCATGATTACGTTATCAAAATGCACATTACAATGTATGCATTGATATCAATGGGTTTTTATTGCTTTAAATACTAACCAAGATCAAATAAGCATAAAATTCATACAGCCTATACAACCCTTTTTCAATATCACATCTGAGAAGTTACGTTGTTATTACTTGTTCATATGATTTGTTATTAAATTTTGAATATTTCTCAAAACACCCATTGTGTTTGCACACAGAATTTATTTGCATAAACCACCGTGACAGTTGTTAGAAGACTAAAGAATTTGATGTAAACAAGCCTTCCGACAGAGCATCGTGTCTGCTATTTGCCTGTAACCAAGGCGCGTATAGACAGGCACTTTAGTCCCTTTGCAAGCTTGAATCTTTATCATAGTTGCCTAAGGCAAAGACCTTATATCAGAGATGTGTCCCGAAGCATGACGTTATGATGACGTCATCAACTGATTTATCGTAGATGTTTAAATATTTGTTTTGGCCCACTGACTTTGTACACGTTTTTGAGGCACAATTTTGGGCACTTAGCTATCTTCAATTTTCATCAAACTTACACCCACCAAAGACCCAATGACAAAATATTTTTCACAAGTAATGACGTCATGGCAACGTCATTATTTGATTTATTATTATTAGTAATTGTGAATATTTAATTTTCTCCATAGACTTTGTGCATAGATTGAAGGTGTATTTTCTTTGCCCAGTGGGCTTCAATCCATCCCAGAGTTATACCATGCACAGGTGCTTGGGCAAAGACTCGACCAAATTTATGACGTCACGATGACGTCATCTTGTGATTTATTGTTGAATTTTGAATCTTTATATTCCTTCATAGACTTTGTACACGGATTTCAAACAGCCCTTCGGCCAGTGACCGTCCATCCGTATCAAAGTGATGCCTAGCACTAATACTCAAAGATCCTGCCAAATTAGTAACGTTGTGATTACGTCATCACGTGACCAGTCACGTGACATTGAAGGGGCAGTCTTTTAAACCAGTATTTCTCCTAAACTACATTATATGTCTGATTGGGCTGAAACTTTGCATGTATCTACAGAGGGAAGTGTTATAGATGAAACCGGACATGATGTGCCAATTACTTCATCAGATGACCAGTCATGTGACATTAAAGGGGCATTCTTTAAGCTGCTTTAACTTTAACACTAAATGCCTGATCAGTTTGAAATCTTGCGTATTGTTCGTGTTGTTGATATCTACGTAATGTGCA